TTCTGTATTCATTGGATGTTGGAGGTGTGTTTAACTTGGCTGCTCTCCATTCATACGTCCACTGAGCTCCTTCACCTCCCTGAATCTCACATCTGACAGTGACTTTCTCACCGCTGTATATCTGAGTCCAGGATGGCTGCAGGGTCACAGTGGGCTTACTGGGAACTGTTCATATAAAAGCATAAACAATAACAAATAAGATTAGAGTAGAACTAGAACTCTGCATTCAGTAATTTGTGGTGCGTCAATCAAAATTCCGTTAATGATGCAAAATTTTGTGACCATTAAAATATGCACAGGCAACAAACATGGGGAACTTAGAACTGAATTTGGAGGGAATGATGAATACAAAAATGGTGGCATTGCTTTTTTTCTCTGCTGTTTTTAGTTTATGTAAGTTCCAGTTGGAGGCTGATCACTGATTGAAGACTGAATGGAGCTGGCTATAAATTGGGACCCGTCAAGACCAGTGTAGCTCTTCCTGCTTCCAACCAGGCTGTGTTCAGTTATGTACTGTGTGTGCTGATGTTTGTGCATCCAGAAGAACTAAATTAATTGTGTTTGTAAATATTGTAAATAGAAGGTTTTACTTATTGATCTTGTAACAGTAGTTGTGGGAAGCCTTTTTCTTTTAAAACCTTTTTCTCATTTTTTAGTTTAGGGAGATGGGTAAAATGCCTGTATTAGATTTTAGGTTTTCAGGTAGTTCTGTTTCCTTTCCAGAATATTTTGTTTGTTGTTTTGTTCGTGCCCAACCTGACAGTTCCCACCTTCAAAGATGAATATAATAAATTTGGTGATTTTGGTTATTGTGAAACTGGAAATATTTTGGCAGCATTGGTCCTTCCTTGGGAACAGAGAATGTGGAAGTCATTTTTTGTTTTTTGCTCTGGTTTCCTGGTACGGTACACCTGACACAAATTACAATCCTAATGAGGACGCAATGTAAAACTTTTCTTTTAGTCTTGAAAAACATGAACACAAAGTCAACAAAAGAAAGCAGAGTTGAAAACCATTACAAAAACACTTCAATGGGACAGTGATTCTGCTGTTCAAACATAAACAGGTACGGAGGCTACAATGCTCCAGGATAGATTGCTCGCCACTGTCTTTTTTTGGATACAAAGTCATAACAGGCCTGTTTGAGACTGTTTATATTCACAAAATCAACATTAACAAATAAATGACAAATGCAGTCCATTTACATCATTTTTTTTTTAACATTACCGTGACCTCACCAGTTTTCCCAATCCTGACTGACTGGCTGTCCTCTGTGTAGTAAACTGGGTTTCCTCTTCCTCCTCTGCACCTGTAGAGTCCTTCCTGTGAGACACTGATTTGTCCATTTGAGTGGAAAACTGCATCTTGTGTGGTCAGGGCTTCAGAGGATTTCTCATCTCT